CATAAAATAAAAAATTTATATCTTTATGTTTGAAGCCTGAAATGTGGCAAAAGGTTGAAAAGTTCAAGGGGGCCGAATACTTTCGCAAGGCACTGTAAGTTAATTTTCCTCATTGATTAATCAAAGTAAATCATTATTTCACAAGGTTAGAGTTCGAGGCTTGTCAATGGAAAGGTGAGGGTTCAAATCCCAGGTGAGAACTGCTGTTTTGCTCTTGAACTTGGAACAGTAAAAGACCCAACTGTCTGAACGGGTGTAAATGTAATTCAATTTGGATAAATGTGAGCCAAATATGTGAAAATACAAGTACTTTCTTTGCTTTGAGCTATAACACAGCATAGACTAAATGTGACTTCCTTCCAATTATTGTTGAAAGTCACAAGTAGTCCAACAAGGTCATGTAGAAAAAATATTTTATTTTAAAAATATTCGTTAAATAAAAGAAAATTTACAATGCATCAATTTCAAAGTATTTCAAATGTAATAGTGAAAACCTAAACTATAATATATCCACAATCCATGAATTAAAAACAATTTTAAACTGTTAAACATTAAAATTGTGAGTTGGAGGCCTGGCCACAGGATTTACAGGAATGTTTAAGTCAATATTTTTACTGTACAGAATATTTAATTGTATAGATTATTGTTAATTTTCTGAATATAATGAAGTAACACAATTAACACATAAGTATTGTTAATTAGACAGCAGTAACTGAATAATCAGCCAGTGAAATGCCTGCTGAAAACACTGAAGTTATCGTCCCTGCTGCATTAGTTCTCAGGAATGACAAGACATGCATAGTGAGAAATGTATGGCTGTTGGCTTTTAGGTGCAAAGCTGACATGTGCATGTGAAAAAGGCCCGACTCTAACCTCACTACAATGCCACAGCTCGATGAAGATGGAGGAGACAACGCACAGTCAAGTATCCCCACCATTGGTACAAATCTTTGTACACAACACTCAAGATTCAGCACACAAATCAAAACCTTGTCTCAGAATACCAGCTGCTCCCCATCACGCATCCTAAAAAAATTCTGAAATCTAAAAAACATTGTTATATTTATACGACTGATACTGTAATAAACAAAATGCTTGTTTGTTGCTGTTAAGACAGGTGCAGATAGATAGACTTACAGTAGGGGCCCATTAGAGCAAAACCCAAATAAGATGCTCTTTTCAGCTTCAGCTTTGAAAAGGACTCGGTCAACTTGCTATGGCACCAATTGCATGTGGCAAAAAAAGGTCAATTTTAGAGGCATATTACTCCAGAACATGAAAGAGTTATAAATAATAAACATACTTTTTTACTATCAGTGACTTTCGAAATAAGAATCCAGAATCCAATGATCAATGGTCTTACAGCTCTTGTCAGGACACTAGGATATGCAATGAGAGTAGATAACACTGTGAGTAGAGTTTATGTAGGATTAAAAAAACGATTACTTCTGAAGGCACTATGTAAACTAAAAGTAAATATGGTGGGACTTGGGACATTTCCTGACTTCCTAGCTACATTTCACACTGTGCCAGGGATTGAATTGGTCTGCTCTCAAATCTCAGCCCACTTCCACAGGCATAAAAAAACTCATTTATGAAGCACTTTCTGGTCTTTTGAAAAACAAAAAATTACTAATGTTTCCAAACAAAAAAAAAAACATTTTTTTAAACTGCCAACAGGGATCCTTAAATCTTCCAACATCCTTGTGCTGTTTAATTAAACGGGGAAGTAAACAGAGCAGCAAATGTTTTATTCATGTATCTAACAGCAAACCCAAAAGTAGACTTTAAACCTGTTAGCCCCGAAAAACAAACAGAAAAGTTGACAGAGCAGGCTGGCAAAGTCTAATGCATGAAGGAAATCCACATACTGTTTTGCCACTGACAGAAGACACAAAAACTAAAACACATCCAAAAATATTTGGGAATATTCCACAAAGCCTGAGCAGCCACAGACCACATTTAAAGTCAGGTTTCAAGTCTGCACAGAAGTCAACATTTTGAATTACCTATCACAATTCTACTGCTATTATACTTGAGCTGCAACACTCAAATGTTGAGGTCTTAAACTCTTGAATTGACCAATATCAAGTTAGGATAAAGGATTTAAAAGAGAACAAATTCTGGAGGAGCAGATGTACAAATGAAATATATATATAGTTTTAAAACAGCTTCAGAGATTCGGCAGACTACCTTGCTTACTTGGTATGTGTTTAATTGCTTGTTGACTGAATCACTCTGCCTCCGCAGGTACCTCTCTGGCTCTTTCTAGAAATATGAGACTCCAGATCAATCTTTAAGTCTCCTGCAATGAAAGTAAAGGCTTCTTGAATAGTTTATAATTATTGCTTTTGCTTATCCAACAGCACAGCAGCTTTTAAAAACCAATGATTGCTCTTGCAAGCATTATGAGTACTTAAGCCATAATCCCAGGACAGACTGACTTTTCTCTCAGTGGGTTTGGATATGGATGCAAGTAATGTCTCTGGGTGCAGTCAACCTCTAGTCAAGGACATGACCTCTGTGTTAAAGCATTGATACATACTGTAAACCAATGCTCTATGGCACTGTATTTAATTATATGTGTACTAATAACCATAAAAATATTAAGTGCTTAAAAATTATGCTAAGTTCAATAGACGATAATGGAAGTCTGCTAGAACTCAATGGATCAAATCCGGGTTAAACTGTATATTGCTGACTATTATGTGAAATCCTCAGAGGGTAGCACAAACTCCTGTCTAGAATGGATAAGTTGCACTTGGTTGGGATATCCTCAGCTCACCAGCAAATGTCCAGTAATGAGGCAGAAGAGAGCTTGCTGTATCTTCCGAAAAAGCTCTGCGACCTGTGCCTTCCTGCTCACGGTGAAAACACAAGCAAGCTGGTGGCTTGACAGTACAGTCAATTTTGAATGAACGCTTGAGAATTCATTAATTTCCAATGAATTCTCAAGCATTATAGTCATATAGCACATCCAAATGAAGTCTGATAATATTGCTGCCTACATCACTCTGCCACCACCTATGTGCAAGATTTCATCTTCTTTTATTCCCTCCCTCTTTGTTCATCTCGTGCTGGTCCTCTAGTTCGACTGTCTACATTCTCTTGCATTGCTGTGGTCATTTGACATACCATTGTTACTTTCTGCCACTTGGATATGATATAGAATGTATATGATATGTATGTATATGATACAGAAGGTTGTGTAAGATTTTGTAATATCTTTGTAACAAGGACCATATTCTTGAGATTCTGTAACATACTTAGACTCCAACAACATCTTGTATGCATCCTGTAAAAGGGTAGCATTGCTGTTGTTTCATTTGCTTTAGAATGTATAGTTACAAACTATTAATCTTCCTAGTATTGTAATCATTTTTAAAACTTGTTTTATTTTAAATTCTATTAACTTATTTTTGTTTATACCACACTACATTGTGCAATCTTCCATCTGTATTTTTAGTTTTGTTTGATTTTTGTGATGTAAGTATTCTTAAAGAATTAACATTTATCTCCATCTTGATTTTTCAGACAATTTAACACAAGGAAGTTTACCAAGCGCAAGAACACATTCTGCCCTTCTAAGTTATTGGACTGCTAACTGCTAATTGACTCAGGATCTCATTCATTCTTTTTTTTTTTTAAATGAACAATATAGCCGGGTGATTTGCTCCATACTGTCACAAACCTTTGTGGAAACAAAGCTTGCTGTCTTAAATCCCAAATGCACCTACCCTTTACATTAGTTTAGAGTGGTTTGAGCTACACTGAATATTCTGTGGATGTTGACTCTACCCCGCACTGACAGGAGTTAAGTGTCACATTACCTGTCCATAACCTTTCCTGACAGCACCATTTTAAATGGCTGTTGGTTCCTACACAGCCTGATATATAAAGATCATACGGTCGTACGATTACCGCTAAAGAAATACTAATTCCATGGCTATTTTCTAAACCGTGACCGTCACTGACTGAGGGCGTGAACTTTCAGTTTCTGTTCAGACCAGTACAACACAGCAAAGTAACAGCACTGCGAGTTTATCTTTATTGTTGATTGAAATGGCGCTGATAATGCTATGTCATGTCCCACGAATCGATCACAGTAAATAATATTAAATGTCTGCAATTTAATAAGCAAGCTATTACAAAAAAGGATTTCTCAAATTATCCCAGATCCTGTATCCACCCGTGGCCATTGGTTCCTTCTCAAAATACAATGTCGTTTGTGTTGATGCGCAACGCAAACAACACATACATACTCTGCGAAGAATATAACTGAAATGTAAGGAGATAGTCAAAGTATGCAATTTATATCATGTCTAGAAGCTTTACTATAACGTACTATAAATAATAGAAGCAATAAGTATTTGTGATTCTACTTAATTTCTTGATCAGTTTTAAAAATCTCACAGGCATAAACTCTTGAAATACCTAGATATGAAATAAATAGAAAATACATACGTGCATATAAATACATCTCTTTAAAGAACTTAAATATTAACCATACCTGTTAAAAAATCAATTGCTTTGATCGAAAAGACACCTTTTCCTTCCAACTGTTCGTGTCCCAGATGCTGTGCAATCCACAGGAAGCTTCAATCGAAAGGTTGTCCCTGTTTATAATTAACCCAAAATTAAATATTGCCAGTATCTCCCACTTTTCTGTTTTATTCCACCATATTTCCACGTCGCCACTGACTATTACGTCGGAATGAGGTTCAGAGGTTAACAGGATGCATCCCGGATATGAACACGTGCATTCTGGGACTTGCAGGTTTAAGCGGATCATTGCCTTCTATTTAGAAACACTGAGCTGTAAAAGACTATAAAAATAATTACGTATTTTTTTAGACAGTTTCATTTTACTAAATATTTATAAATCTGTTAGGCACTACGTACAGTATGAATACTTCTTCATAAGTATTTTGTTGCTAAACAGAAATCCTGTATGGCCATATTGTCTTAAATTTCCATCTCAACTCTTAACCTCGGCTCACTATTGACCCAAACATACCAATTTAACAACTTCTTCAAGCTTTTCAGGTGCTAATGTTTTAAAGACAGCTAGAATATCAAACATGCACACTGGCTTTCTTAACTGCTCTTTTTAACTAAACAGTAGAAGCAGGAGATTTGCTGTTTGGCATATATAATTACACCTTGATAATACCAGAGAGTAGGTCTCGATTCTTGCTTTATAAGACACTATGGTGCCATCTATTGGATTTCTGAAGCACAACAGGACATTTTCAGAAACAGAGCCTGTACACATGAACTACTATACACATCACAATCCATCAAAACAACGTAAATTCTTGAAAACTTTTTAACTTGAACTTCATTTAAAAACATTTTTCTTTATATGCATATGCATTAATCACAATCACTGCAAGGGAACCTGTAGCTCAAGCCTGATTATTTTACTAACACAGGTTTCACTTTGTTACACCTCTGACACATCAATACAATAGTTAACGATTATTACATTTAGAAATTCTCTAGGAAACAAAAAAATAAACTATTCGTGAATTAAGACGTCCTGGCCAAATTTCCCATTGGCCTTTACCAATCATGGTCTCCTAATAATCCCTATTTATGAATTGGTTTAATTACTGTTTTCCTCCCCACTGATAGCTGGTTTGTGGTGAGCATTCTGGCGCACTATGGCTGCCATCGCATCATCCAGGTGGGGCTGCACATTGGTGGTGGTGGAGGGGAGCGCTTTGAGTGGAGTGTCCAGAAAAGCACTATAACAAGTGTAAGCAATTACTATTATTACTAGTTTAATAGTCATTAAAAACCCAGGCCATTCATCCAGTGCTTGTCCTTTTAACCACATGCTTAAGTGGAATCGAGCAAATTGCTGATTTCAAAAGACACCAGATTTTCCACTGCTACAAGGGAGTGCTGCATATAACATTATAAATCAATAATGTGAGAAAGCACAGAGCGTAAGTAAGAGTAGTAAATAAAAAAAAAACAATGTCATGATATACAACTATCGGAGGCACCAGAACCCTTACAAAAGAGAATGGGTTTTGATTCCATTTCAGATTTCTATTGTACAGTTTAAATATTTTTCTAAATTATTACATATTGATATACATTCAACACAGTTTACATACAGTTTATACAAAAAACAATTCTGATGTGCCCAGAGTCAGAGGTCATTTTTTTTATAAACAGAGGAAAAAGGATAATTTAAATAAATCATTTATTATTTCAATAATCCAGGTAATCTCCGTTGGGTAGGAAAAATCTTCATTCTTTCAATTACAGCTTGTTATATTAGTCCATCTTTTTGTCAGAAACTGCTGTGGGTCCATTGGCAGTGGAACTGTTCGCTTCCCCGTTGCAGTCACATTCCGTCTGAAAGGAAATCCAGTACATACCAGTAAGCCGTAATAATTAAAACAAGAGGCCTTCCCTGAAATTCTGAACAACTATGTTACACGATCCCTGCCATCTGAGTAAACAGCATGTGATATTTGCATGCTTCAGGTGTTTTTAACTCCTGAAATGAATGAATAGTCTGGTTTGAATGTCAACTAAAATATAATGGCAATGTTTTCGATTAACACAATTTTCGAATACTCTGCTTTTTAAAACAGGCTTTCCTGAAGCCAAAATAATCTCCTTTTGTCCTTTGCAATTGTAATGGTCAATGAATTACAGGCATTAAAACCGTTTTAAGGATTTGAAAAAAACAGACAAAAAACATTTTAGGGAAATATATTTACATTTGTCTTGGCCAATGAGAAAACTTATCAATAAAAAAAGAAAGGCAACGCTCAATATGTTTCAGCTATAAAGCACAAATTCTTGCAGGGTTTTTTTTTTTGACAGAAAGGTTACCTTGCACGTTCCATTACTTTTCCCTTTTTCTGCTGCAGTGCCTGTCAGATTCTCCTGCACTGCTTTCTTAGGCCAGAGACGGCTCAGGATGGGAGAAATGAAGGGGTAAATGATGGGCTCCAGGAATTTCTTGTAAACCCACAGCAGGACTGGAATGACGATGCACGGAATGCAGACCATGGCTGGAATGAATCACTGTAGCTGCTTCTCACAACCAGATCTACAAGAAAAAACAACAAACATTTGCTGCGAAAATCAGTCTAGATAGAAGCAAAGGAAGAAGAGAAGCATTTTCCACAAGGAAAATGGCCGCAGTAATTTTCGTAATTCAGTAAAATAATGTTGGGAGCCGCTTAAGACGAACATTTTTAACTCAAATGAATTCTCTATCAATACCGTGTACTTTCGAAGTTTATGACGTAAATCCATATACACAGATTGATGAAACTATGACTTCAGTGGCGAGTTAAGCATACTAAAATTAAACGTTGCCTAAAAACTGTAGAAACTGCTAGGATCTAATTTAACGTGCTTAAAAAATACAATTATTTAAATTAAACGTTTTGCTAGTTTTTGTAATACTATTTGCAAAACCAGCTAGCGCAGCAAACCTAACTCAAATATTTTAACAGTGTAATACAAATTAAACACCAAAACAAAAACGCTTGATCACAAAAGCAATATAATTACTCTTACATTTTTCTCTGAATAAAGGAAGCATGTCGTCTTTACCGCAACAAAATAACTTAAGCTTGGATATTACATTGAATGACGTAACGTCATTAAAATCCATTTTCATACTTTACGTCATTTTATTACGTTAAGTCGATCTATAAAACTAACACAGTTTAACAAATAAAGAGTTACGTGAAAACCATTTACCTTTACTAAATGATCGTTTTCAACAAAATGAAACCTAACCCTCAATTTGTTCCAGAAACAGCCAAACTATGAGAGGGCCGAGTTACAGAGACGCCATCAGCTGACAGAAAAGGCCGAGGAATTAACTAAGGCGCCCCCTTTTGTTGGAGGCCAAAACATTTTAAAGGACAAAAGCAGGATGTTCAATACAGTATTTTATTAATATTATATGGTTTTAATACCCATTACTTTTTTAATGCATAGTGTTTTAAAGAAAGACGTTGTTTTTCCAAACACAATATCTAACAGAATGGTTAAATTTAAATCAAGGCTCGATTAAATTTTTTGTTGGACAGGACTAGCTTAATCATGAAATGAAAAATGTAACATGCAAACATCAGAAAAGCTGTTTTCTTAGGCTGCATATTAACATTTATACTTTTTGCATTTTGTAGTGTAAATTAACAGGATTCGCTTTTTTCATTACAGGTTTTTGTGGTTATATTTGATATAGAAGGTTCGTAAGCTGATCGATTATTCAGAGATAAAATCGCAATAAGCAACTAAGATATAGAAAAATCCTTAATAATAATTATCTCTTATCATACGTTCGAAAGTGTAAAATATTTACACAAAAGATGGGGATTACAAATATGTTTAATGCTTAACAAGTCTACATAACCTAAGGATAGGCATTTTTTCTTATCTGAATGTGGTACTAGAAAGTGAATATTCTTTACAGGAAGCGACTAAAACAATCCATCCCATCTCAGATCGTGCAAATAATAATAATAATAATTGCTTACACTTATATAGCGCTTTTCTGGACACTCCACTCAAAGCGCTTTACAGGTAATGGGGACTCCCCTCCACCACCACCAATGTGCAGCATCCACCTGGATAATAAAAGAGTGCTTTTTATTTTTTACAGCAACACTGGTGAAGACGTCTCCTAAAATGAGTAACGATATTCCACACCTGCGTTACATCCAAAGAATTATGAAACTTTATTATTATTGTAATTGTCATCCTGTAAAGCGCTTTGAGAAGCCACCTTTAAAGGTGCTATATAAAATAAAGTTTATTATTATTATTATTATTATTATTATAACATTGAACGACTGACAGTCATTAACATTTCCTTAACTTTAATAAAATATACTTGCGTTAATAAACAGCATTTTATTCGACCATGTGAAAAATGCAACCAAACCTATTATTGTAAAAACAACTCGGATAAACATAAAACGTAACTTTTTGAAGAACATAATGTGTGTGAGTAAATGGAAGAATTAATCGGACTTGATACTCTTGACTTTTTTCACCTTTCAAAATAAGATGGAAATCCTCGTCATTTGCTTATCTTTCTCGTTTTCGGTATCAGGTTTTATTGGGTTCAAGTTTAACATTAAAAACAAAACAAACAGAACCGTCATCCACGTATATTTTTTATCAAAGCGTCATGCTGTTCATTTTCGAACACAGACGAACGAAATGAAACACCAGGAGGAATTACATTGAAAAATAGGATTTCAGTCTCAATCCACAAATAACGTGTATATAAAATAAATTGTTATATTTTTTTGTTTAGCTCTCCCCGTCAAAGCAAATGTTTTTTTTTTATTTATACATAAATAATAACAAAAATTACAATACAAACAAAGCAAATGTCTCAAACCAAAACATCACTTCCACCCTTCTCGGGCAGGTTGGTAACTGTAGTGTAACGGCCCGAAGGCAGAGAACCCAACCAGCGTCGTCCTTGCTCGGAAGCGCGGCTGTGAGATCCATGCCCGTCCAATCGTGCGGCCCGCTGTTGAGCTGCGGCTCTCGGGTATGCCGCACCCAGAGAGGGGGGCGGGGAGGCGGAGCGGCCGGGGACAGACGGCTGGAGGAGGAGAGCGCACACAAGTCGTGCTGGGGATACGGAGGGTTTTTGCGAAAGAGCAGGGGGGAAAAAAAAACACACACATACAACTCTAGGAGAAGCGGTACGGCGGGGTAATATTCTTTCGATTCTTTCAAAGGTAAGATCATGAGACGTCTGCAAGTATTGGCTGTGTATTGCTATTATGTTCTATTTACCATTTGTAAAAATATGTAGCTTTTCTCCTACAGGGTTACTACTATAGCGTAGACTGTCCTGCAGAGGGGCGTGTGTGCGGCAAATTGTTTTTTGTTTTTTGTTTTTTGTTTTTTCTTTTCTTTACCCGGGGAGGTTGCAATTCAGAGAAAGAGAAATTGACATTCATAGGCTGAATATAAAAGTAGAAGAAATAGCTTTGTTCGTGGTATAATTAAAATATTCAATGGATGTTACAATGAAGCACCAAAATGGAAGTAAAGTACATTTCATAATGTTCTTATTGGGTAAATCGGGGCTCTAGCAGCACAAAATCTGCCCCAAACTGTTGAAAATTAAACACTAATGTTAAATGAGATCATTCGAATATCGAATTGGTCAAATAAATCAAATAAATCAATCTGCTGTGTAAATTCAGGATGACAGCGTTGCAGTGGTATACAAAATCCAGGGTATTTATAAAACGTAAAATTTGCGTGTTGTTGTCCCATGGGGAATCATAAAAACGTCCCGCTTCAAACATGTAGTCTATTTGCCTAATTAACCTCTTCAATAACAACAACTATAATACAATTCACTTGATGTCGAAGAGTAAACTAGTTGACTGTTTACGAGTAAGTATTTTTACTTAAAACTATAATTTTTCGATGATTGTGGGTGGCTTTAGGATGTTGCTGTCATGCTGCTGTAGTTTTTTATTGGCGTAATATTTTAGGTGACAGATACACTTGCTTTAAAAGATTTGCTACGTGAAATTATTTGACTTAATATTTACGTGTGTGTGTAAAATGTATTTAAATAGTAAGCATTTTTCTTGCAAGCATACCTTCAAGGCTGGCATTTATGCAGCCTGGCCTGACTACTTCTGTGTAAGCTTTTTTTTTAGCTTTTGCTTTTTAAATTAGGCCTAGTCACACAGTGAACTATGCATTTTCAGTAGGATCTGAAAAGTTCTAGATGCATTGCTTTTCAGTCGCAGTAATGTTTTCACGAAGAACTTGGAAGTTCAGTTGATGACACAGTCCAGTTTTTGTCACAGGACAGAGAAACGACTGCGACCACAGTTAGGCAAAGCAAGGGCTTTTCCATCAAAGTCAGACGAATGTCATAACGTGCCGGATATATCGGAGCATTTGTATGTTTTTCAGTTTTAAGAGATATCCTGCTCACAGAATCCAGAACAAAGAGGGATTTAAAGGGACTGTTTTTTTTGGTGAAATTAATCTCTTTTGCGAGCATTAGATGAAAATGCAAAAAAAGCGTTCATAATGGCCAAGATACATACCAGTGCTTATAGATATTTTCTTTAATCTGCAATATATTATACACATAAATGTTTATAAAATGATCACTATGCATCAACGAGGCCTGTCTGGTTTTCCTTGTGGTTTACCAATTTGTGCTATGGCTATGGTGGTTTACTTGTGCTATGGTGTTAGCATCCTTCTACAGCAGAAGCTACTGGATATTCTCCTTAATGGATTTTATTATTTCTGCTGCTTTTTTCATTAGATCTTTTTGCATGTTGCAAAGTGGATAACACCGCTCAGTACACAATGTTTCATCCGAAATAAGAATCTATACGTCTGTGAGAAATCTTTGTGTAATAGTCACACTTTAGTTTGAAGAGTGAAGGCGGACAATGATGCTTTAACCTGAAATTAAATGTTTGAATTAGTCAGACGGGAAAAAATGGTCTTCGTCGTCTTGGAGCCTAGAAATGAGACATGTTGATCACCCACTGTGATGGCCACATCCATGTTCCGATTATGTGAAACTGTGGTGAAACATACACCACATTGTAGTTCAGAGAAGTTGCTTATTTCATGTCTTATAGGGAGTGAGCTTATACACAGTCAGTATAAAGAAATAACCTGCCTCCCATCCAGACACAGTGGATTGTTTAAAAATGTTTTATTGTATTTCTTTTAAATGTTTTTTTTTATATATATATACTCCTACATGCACTGTAGGTTTTTTTCTTGGGGCCTTTCACTACTGAAAAGTCATATGACACCCCACAGCTCAATGTGTTTGCAATCATATTAAGAGGATTACAGTATTTGGCAGGGGTTTGCTTGGCTAAGGAACAACTACCTAGCAATGAGAGTCAAAGGTCTTGTCAAAATCAATTGTACTGGTTATAGGGTCTTCTTCTGATGCGATGTTTAACTAAGTTTATGATTTTTTGAGGTCTCCGTCTTCATCTCTAAAATAACATTTTTGGTTCATTTAAAAAGCTTAAGCCTGTGCAGGCTTCAGAGTTGCAGAATCCTGCTGAAGAAATGCAGATTAAACCATGATAGAATTGAAGCCACTGTACAACATGTTGCATACATACAGTACAGATGTAGTATTTCTTCCAATACCTCCTAGTGTTATGCTGTGTCAGAAGTAAATTGAGACACCACCATTGCACTAAATAGTGTAATATTAATATTCCCTTAAAGCAAGCAATAGTATTAGTGCCAAAGCTGATAGCTGTGTTCTGGCAGTCTGTATAACAGTTGAATGTCTTGGAGAAGATTTAATTTCAGTGATAAAACATCATGAAGACATCAGAGGGAGTGGTTGACTTGTGCATTTCCTGAATCTTGTTTTTCATTTCGTAAGTGTGGTGGTGCGCATCCTTTATAAATTTTTTTAAGCTTTTGCCTGTGTGATGAGGGTTCCAGTAATAAAGTTTGAAGAAGCCAGATGTATGGGCATCAGTGCGCAGAGCTTTACCAGGGTGATTTAAGTTTTTTCTAATCTCCTTCCCTGCTATGCTTTGTCACAGTCAGCTTTGAAGATCTCAGCAGCTGAGTTTGCTGTCATAGCAACTAACCATCTATCGGACTAATTTACAACAATTAAGGGTAATCTGTTATAAAAGAATATAATCTCCAATGGACAAGCATTGAAGTACAATGGAGCATAATGTAATATGGGTTATCAGTTTAGTAAAATACTGAATAAAATTATGTAATTCAATGTAAAAAACTGAAGTATAATTTTTAAAAGTTAGCTTTGTTTGGTTGACTATGCAGGACAAAAGTATATTTGAAAAAATGAACTCTAAAACAGTAATTGCCAACAAATAAGAATACTACTCAGTCTCTAACACTTTGAAAGCTGCTCTAATGCTAAGAATAATGCTGTGTTCCGCTGAAGTGTTTGCATGTAAATCTGTCATGATATTGTAGTTGTGTGTTTTAAAAGTAAGGAAAGTTTCCTACAGGAACATACAGTTCCTGTGACAGGATGAACTGGTATAGATGACAGAAGCCTCATTTCCCCGTTGATAATCAATGTGGTTGTGTGGAGTGGGGGGTTCCAAATGACATACACCTTATTGTAATTTCTGTTCTGATTTTTTAGGATTTGGTAATAGTTTCTAAAAATCTTTCAGAGGGGGTTAGACACATGAATTTGACATGTGTCATACTGTATGTATGATGACGTTATATGGAATATTCACCAGATCACTCTTTGTAAAAGGAAAATAAGATTAGTTGAAGGTGTGAAATCCTGAAGAAAAATTGCTCATTGACATTTTCATAGGAGCTGGGTAGCCTTTCTCATTTGTAATGTGTAACCATTCTGCTTTTGGAGAGAGACAGAATATCATCATTAAAAGATGCATTACACAAACTTACTGAGTTCCTACCTGGAACATTTAAATCTCTTGGAACTTAGTGACCTTAGGGTAAAATACAAAACCTAAAAAGTTTGAATGCAGAGTTTTATTTTTCAGTTGAAATGACTGTAAGTGTGACTGAGTTCTCAGGTACTTGACTGAAACCTTAACTCAGAAATGGTTTGTTATCTTACATGTTTTTTAGGTATTAGATGTGAAATGCTACATTTTCCCAACTGTTCATATGAAGGCCCAATTAAAAAACTGAAAGTTCATTTGGAATGAATACCAGCAAACATGAGGGTACAACAAATCTACAATTAAAAAAGCTCTGATGTATAGCATGTACATCCTGTATTACTGTAGCTTATCAACACAGAACGTTCATGCTGTCTCCACTTTAGTTTCCAGTTACAGATAATAAAGAAATGTTAATAGCGGTGAGATTTTTATAGTTAAGTATAATAACATGAGATTATCAATCATGAAACGTTTTTATCATAATTTCAGGTCTAGACATTGATATCACGTCTGTTTGAAAACTCGTTCTTTGTTCTGAATGCCTCCCTATTGACTGTGTGTGTCCTTTCTTATCTTAACAACATAGGTTGATAGTAACTTGAGTCAATGTCATGCTGTGCCAGGCATTCAGACACTGTTCCTTATTGGGAATAACTCGGGACATTTATGTCACTTAACAAGATGTAAGAAAAAATGCACAATGCAGGTTGTAAAAAGTGCTTTTTGCAGTTTGCATGATGTTTAAAAAACAATATTAAATCATTAAAAAGTACTGGAAAGGGATTTGGTCCATTCATTACAACACAATATGAGAGTGACACAATTTAATTATACGTTTTTTATTAATTAATAAATAAAACCTTGTCAGAATATTAATCATGTAGGGGTGCCATGCACAATTTCCATGTGGTTTGCCTTACAGTCACTTAAAGTACAGTTTGTGTTTTAAATGATTGTAATTGAAAAAGATCCAATTAAAGTAAAGAAAAATAATCAGCTACAAGCAGGCAAAACTAATAGTGGAAAGAATGCTATAAAGGAGGATTAAAATGTTTTTTTCAAAATTTATTTCAGAATGTCTTTGTGATTATGAGAAACCTTTCATCCTGTGATTTTTGTTTTGGTGTTAATAACTGATCTACTGGTTTAAATGTTTTCTGCACTTAGTCCTTGGTTTCAGAAATAACCTACAATGCATTATATCAAACAGCCTCAGCACTCAGAACTTTATAAGTCTTTCCTGAACTTGCTTATAAGAATTTCCTCCATTATTTCTGACTGAACGGCTCTTAACAGGTGAGCAG